GTCCGTGAGTTCGAGCCCCGCGTCGGGCTCTGGGCTGATGGCTCAGAGCCTGGAGCCTGTTTCCTATTCTGTGTCTCCCTCTCTCTCTGCCCCTCCCCCGTTCATGCTCTGTCTCTCTCCCAAAAAAATAAATAAACGTTAAAAAAAAATTAAAAAAAAAATACGATGTTAAATATCTCATGGAATTCATTGAATATGTACAGAAAGTGAAAAACAGAAGGATCGTAACTGTATCATTGTTGACCCTGGTGACTGCAGGGCCGACTGGGAGCCGTGGCTGTCGCCACCCAGCATCACAAGATGGGATTGTACTGCATGTTGTTAACCTGGGAAAAGATCAAAATTCAAAATTCAAAGTACAACTTCTATGAATGTGTATAGCTTTCACACCATTGTTAAGTTGAAAAATTCTTACGTTGAAGCACTGTAAGTCAGGGACCATCTGTATATGCTCATTATGGCAAAAGAAACACAGGAAATAAACAGAAACTAAGGAGATTGGTTACCTACTGGGAGTCTGGCAACAGTGTGGAAAGAACTGGGAAGGGAGTGACAATTCCCCGAAAATACTTTTTTATATAGCTCTCACTCTTACAACCATGTTTCACATACTCCAAAAGTTAAATGCGTAATTAAAACCTACCAGGATGCAGAAGGGGACCCAAAATGGAAAACAAACCTTCCTGCCTTACAAATGCATAAGTAACTGCCCTGAGAAGGTGAGAAAGGAAATGACAAATCTAAGTAGCTTTGGAAACAGCATGTTGCTTGGATATTGTAAAGATAAAGACAAAAAAGCAATACACGGATATTGTACTCTAATTAAATTTTATTCTCACAGAGGTATGAGTTAGCTATTCTGAAACTACATATATTCTAGGATTGAATAAATAAGTAAAAATAGAGTGGTCAATGAGAGCCAGGTTTCTCATTTTAGACATAGAAGTTACAAATAAGGAAAGAGGTTAGTTAGAATGAGTCCTGCAGAGGTGGACTGAAACAGGAGGTGTTCATACAGTGGGATTTTAAAAATATATGTAAAAATGAGTAAGACATAGAAATATTGATGTGTGGATGCAGAGGTTAGTATATACACATTTATTTCCTTACTCTGCCTACCAAGGCTTTAGTATCCCTATCTTGGTTTTTAAACACTATTGTCCAAAAAAAAGAGACTAGGGCTCCTTGGGAAAATAGTGGATTCCAGGCTAAGACAGGGAAAATACCAGATCAACCACATCTCATGGTACCATAAAGTAAAGGAGTGCTTGAAAATGAGCAGCAGTGTGCCAAAAGGACATGGAAATCAACCTGAAGCCTCTCCCTTGGGCAAAGCTGGGACAAGTTAAGCAATAAAATGATACTGCTGGATTATGATCCATAGATTAAAACATACAAGAGTTCATATTAATATAAATAAAGTTAAAGAGATAAATAAAGGAAAGAAAAAGCTCTTCCTTACAACAGAATTCCAGTATTACTGGATAAGGAACGATAGCAAGAAAGCCTCACCAACAGGCAAATACACAGCAGTAACCTGTAAGACCTGTCCTTGCAGGCTAAAGTTAGTAAGTATTTGCATAGTATCAATCAAAGGATCTCCCCCTAAGGCACTTATTACAAAAAGAAAAATAGTGACTTTATAGTGGATGAATCTGCATATACCATCTTAATCAAGTGAAAAGTTAAAACCACCAATAGTAAGATATACTGACACCTGTACCCTGATATGATGCAGTGAGAATGGCACGAAACGTTACTTCTGTGCCAAAAATGCACAACCCAATCGAATCATGAGCAAACATCATACAAACTCAGACTGAAGAGCTTCCTACAAAACGCTGGATCAAAATTCTTCAAAAGTGACAAGGTGATAAAAGACCAAGGAAGTGTGAGGAACAGTCACAGGCTTGGGGAGACTAAGGAGAGACCTGAGAACTAATCATCACGTAGAGCCCTGGACGGAATCCTGGGCCTGAAAAAAAGACTTGAGCGGGAAAACTGGAAATAAGACATGCAGATTAGTTGACAGTATTATTATCAGTGCTAATTTCCTGGGTTTGCTAATTATGGTATGGTTCTGTATGATGTTAATATCAGCATAGGCTGCGCGCAGGATAATATGGAACTCTGTATTACTTCGGTAATTTTTCTTGCAGTTCAATATTGTTCTAAAAAATGTTTAAACCTTAATAGTTTCAGTACTTCTCAACCATAACTCTACTTGTTATAATTAGTTTACTGATTCAAAACTGAGCACTTGATAATTACTTTCTTATTAAACAGATAAGGAGAGTTATTTTCATACAGTTTTGGTAACAACCACATTCACTTTAAAAAATGTTAGACGTAATCAAAGTAGCAAATCAAGAGTAGTTGATTCCTTACTTCAAGTACCACATGGGGTCAGCATCACTTGTAACCTTTTCATTGGCTTTCATTATCTTCTTTATCTGTAGGGAAAAGAACACCATTAGGAATGTCTCTAGCTTAAATCAATTCTCCTCTCTACTTTTTTTTTTTTTTTAAGTAGGCTCCACATCCAACATGGGGCTCCAACTCATGACCCTGAGATCAGAAGTCGCATGTTCCACCAACTGAGCCAACCAGGCACCCCTCTCTCTACTTCTAGGCCCTGCTGCTTACCTCCACATTAATGAAATAGTTGAATGAATCTATATGCTGTTTCACGAGGCCTTTCACCTAAACAGACAAAAAATATAAAGTAGGTTAGTGACAAATTAACACCCTATGTTACCGACTCTAACCACAGATGTTCTTCAGATTTTTCTCAAAACCAAAGACAGAAAAAAAAAAATCCATGAATTTCACTTAGAACTTAACATGTATGTGTCCTCATTCCATCTCTCCCCCATCCTACTAATACCCCTCAAATTTTCCTCCTTGAGAATCAGCCTGACACTTGGAATTCAAGATAGGAATATCTGAATATACCTAACGACTCTCCATAAGCTAACAAATAAGGCAAGATTTTTTCTGCATACTTTGAATTTGCAGAGATACTACATCTCCTGCTACTGAAAACACTGGAACAATAACAAAGACTCCAAAATGTTAGAATTTAAAAGGACCGTATGTATTCTTTTTTTAATATTAATCTTCAAGCACAATTGAGTTCAGCACTGCTAGAACATTCCTAACACATAGTCATAGAGCCTTTGCTTTAATTACACTTCCTTTTTGGGATCTCACTGGTTTACAAACAAACCATCCCTTTCAGAAGCAGTCCTAATTATTGGGGGAAGAAATTCAACCTTATGTTGATCTGAGGTCTGCCTTCCTCCAGTTTCCAGCCCTTGGACTTAACTGTCCTTCTGGAGAGAAAGGCCTGCTCTCGACAGTCTGTTTATTTACTTTATCTCTCCTTCATGATGTCACGTCCAGGCCAAACAGGAACTATTCAACTATGTCTCACATGCACGCTTTCCAGACCCTTTGGCAGCAGATGGCCTGCTCCTGGGCATGCTCCAGTTGGTCAGTGTTCCTCCTAACACGGGCACCCTGAACTCATGGACAATGTTCTCAACAGTATGACCAGCACACCATGGGGCCACTGCCTCCCTCATTCTGGATATTACACCACCACTATAAAAAAATCAAGGCCAGGGGCGCCTGGGTGGCACAGTCGGTTAAGCGTCCGACTTCAGCCAGGTCAAGATCTCATGGTCCGTGAGTTCGAGCCCCGCGTCGGGCTCTGGGCTGATGGCTCAGAGCCTGGAGCCTGTTTCCAATTCTGTGTCTCCCTCTCTCTCTGCCCCTCCCCCGTTCATGCTCTGTCTCTCTCTGTCCCAAAAATAAATAAACGTTGAAAAAA